CCACAGAAGTAACTTGAAAGTTATTTGGAAATAATCAAGTTGTACCAAGAATCCACCAAAATCAACTTAGATGTGTGGCTCAACTTACTCAGTGTGGCTTGAACTTCTGAACCCAAATTAGGTGATTCCTCTCATGACACATTTCCCCCCTCCCCCATTTTAAGGTGAAACATCTCTTGATAATACTTTTCACCATCTTTTTACAATTTACCTCTGAAACTGCTTTGCCAGGCAGCTTTGAATGGTGTCCAAGTTGCCAGTTGTCCTTCCCAGCTTGGAGCGAGGCACTGAAAGCCCCAAGTACCCAGATCAGCATCCCCAGATGTGGCAGCTTTGCTGTGCCACAGCTGGCTGGGCACAGGGGAACACCTGGCAGGGCCTGCAGCCACCAGAAGAATTCTCCCAGCCCATCTGGGCTCGGGGCTCCCTGAGGTTTGTGGTGCCCTTGGGAAGTGAAGAGCCAATTGCATCTCCTTGGCAATAGCATGTGCCAAACACTGAGCACCAGGAAAAGCCCTGTGTTATTCCATGAGAATACAGTGGCCACATGAGTTCCACAGTAAAGAAAGCCAGAAAATCTATTTTATGTTGAAGGGGTGATGCTTTCAGCTAATTTTCCTCCTTTCTCCCCACTCCCAAGGTTTATACTACACCCCAGAGACTTCACTATTAGGAACCAGTTCAGACAATGGAACTTTCTTTAAATACCACCATTTTTTCCTCCATCCTGCTTACATCCCTCCTTCCAGTGCAAGTACTGACCTGCTGAAGAGGCAGAAGCTCTGTGCCTTTGCTTTGTCAGAGTAATCTCTGTTTTCCTGAGCCATGCTCGTTACCAACTCTGACCCATCGTTATTTCAGAAAACCATCCCATTAATAATTAATAAGAACCCTCCAGCTAACTTTCCTCCCTTGCAGAAATTATTCTGGTTTCAAATGTCATCGTGGCATTCACTCATTCTGCAAAAATCAGGGGGAGATCCTCCCATTCCTTCTCCCAGCTTGGCCTTTTCCAGGTCTGGCACACCCAGACCAATTCTCCTGCCTCTCTGAAACAGAGCTGACTAAAAGAGATGCAGTCAGGAGGGAGCAGGGCAGCACAACGCTTCAGAGAATTGTAGCTGTTCTGAGCTGTCACATCTCTGAAAGGGCTCTGACTTTATTAGTTTAGGGGATGAATAAAACATCTGATACACAGTTAAAATTGGATTTACTCAGATCCTGCACAAGAGGCCTAAAACCTATTCAAGTTCCAAATGGGGACTCAATTTGTTCCCAAGTGGGGACACATAGAAGATGGCTCTGGAAGTCACCTGGAGAGATGTATTTGGTATTTTCTGATGTTTCCTTTTAACTGGATGACATCTTATCCCCCTGAGAGGTCCTCAAGTGTTTCAGAAAGACAAAATTGGCAGCTGATTCAGCCCCATTTCACCCTTTGGTTATGATGTCTTTTGTGATGCTTCTGTTTATTATTAAAAGTGCTTTTCAAGTTATTTCATTGTATTTTAGAAATTCCTCAGTGTTATGGACACAGCAAGGACCTTTGTGTTAGATGTGACACCAAGAACTGCCCCTTCCTCCAGTGAAGATTCTTTCTGTACAGCTGACAGCAGTGGGGATACTTAGACTTGAAGTTCTTTCAGGAGCTTTATTAAAGAGGAATAAAAATCACCACCAAACAAGCAAAAGGGGGTTATCCTTGTATGGGCATGACTGCAAGCCATGTCTGAAAGTCATCTGGGCAAGAGCTGAGCAACTGGATCCTTGCCACGATCCCACGTGGAGACTCACTCTATCTCCAAGTATTGATCTCAGGGGCCTTGGTGTGTTCCCTGGAAGAGCAAGGCTTACATTCCCCATGCCATATCCACACATGTGGATATCTCTGTCTGTGCATCTCTGTTTCCATGTTAACCTTGACCAACCTCCCCCACAAGCCCAGCCAGTAGGATTCATGATCCTACAAGTTTTAGAAAAGGACATGACTGGGAGAAAAGTCCCCTGAATGAAGGAAAAGCTGCAACATGAGCTCTACCCTAAAGAGTATCCAAAGGGGAGTGACCTTATAAGCAACCCAGACAACAAAAATCTTTGGTAGGACTTTGAAACCCATTTGCAAGGGGAAAAGCCTCGGGCACGAGTATATATTTATATACTATGGGAATGATTTGTTTAGTCCTAAGATAGTCACTTTTGGGGTCATTTTGCTCTGTTTCAATACAACTTTTAAGATTACGAGGCTCTGGACAACGCAATAAACACAGATAAATGAAAAGAGAAAGTCATGGAAAACCTTCCTGGTTCCAAGGCACTCGATGTCTGTGCCCAGGCAGCTCCAGGCCTCTTTTACCCATTCCCACGAGTTCATGGAATCCTGTCGCGTGTGAGTTTCCAGTCCCGGAGTCGAATGTTTAAATGCAATAAAAAATTGGGCTGGATTTATTCCTCCCTTTTGCATTTTCATGAACGAACTCATCTTAATTGGAAGCATGCAACTTTGGGATATGGTTTTGTTTTCTTTTAATAATGAAAGGAAACAAATGCTGGTGTGCAACAGGCAGAAAAGGGAAAACCAGGCAAGCTTAAATATTTACATGTATTCAAACTGTTGAATAACCAAAGGAAAAGGGAAAATAATGCTGCTTTGTAAGAATTTTTGCCAGTCTCTTAGGAGGATTCCAAGTTTTCTAGCCCATCTCCTTGCTGTGAGGTTCATGCTGTCATAAATGGGATTCCTGGGGAAAATTAGGAAAGTAAGTGTTGTTGTAGGTATTGTAGAGAGGGTCAAAGGCTGTTTTATGCCTTTCTGAACAAATGACAAAAAGCAAAATAATTCAGCAAGGCCTTAAAGGAAGATGTCCAGGTGTTTCTGCATCTGAGTAAGGCTTGCTAAGCTTTTGCAAACCCTGAGAATTTGCTGGAACTCTTTCCTCTGTGCCACTATGACCTTTATGCCAATTGATTTTGATTAAAAAAAAAAAAAGTCAGAAAACAACTAGGAAGGTTGTGGAAAGGCACTTTCTTGGGGGAAAAGGAAGAAGAGGCTCCATCTCCCTGCAGGAAACAGCTGGCAACAGGTGACTGGAGAGGCAGGGTATGGCACTGCTCCCTGAGGAGATCCAGCTGGGCTGGGAGGGAGCTGGTCCTGCCTGCTCCTGGCCCAGAACTGTGACTGAGAGCTGTGTGCCTCAGGACACAGCTGGGCTTTTGGGGACAGTCCCAGCTCAGATGGGGGAAGGTTCTGACTGTGATTCACACACAGCTGGCTGTCCTCTGGGCAGATAGGGTGGAGCAGAGGGGAAAATAATCTCATTAGGCTCATTGCTGGCACTGGGAAGCCCAGGGCTTGGCCTGATGCCCACACTTAACAATGCCACAGACACATCCATTGTATGGAGAAGGCAACTGCACATGGAGGGCAGGGAGTAATAATTCTGCTAGACCCAGGAATTGGGCCCCAACATGATCAGGCATCCAAATCTGTAAGATTCCAATTCTCTGATCATCAACATCCACCCCAGAGCAACCAGAGGGCCAGAAGCTCCTTGGGCAAGCAGCAGGAAGATGAGAGGTGACCTTGCTCTGCACAGGGGTCTAACCTGGCAAGTATCTGTAGTTAAGAGCAGGACAAATGTGTTTTGTTTCAGAAACCAAGTGCACAAGGCTCAGCCAAACAGGCAGGTTTGGGGTTGCATGGATAAAAGTGTGCACATGCATTGGGGAGTCCTAAAAGGCTTGGCCCTGGGGAATAAAGGGCTTCTCATGGCAACTGGGAATAGCAGAGGAGGGGCCCCACAGCCTTGGAGACTTTGGGAAAGGCGTGCTGATGAATCTGGTGACCAATAAGCAAGAATCCTTTTGCCTTGGGGTACAGAGGGAGATGGGAGATTTGCTTCTCATTCATTATCTTCCAGGTGGAGATGCTCATCACAACTGGTAATGTTGCATGGTGGGCTTGAGGGGTGTCCTGTCACTCTTGGAGGATAGGCAGGTGGTTCAGAGTGCACAGTGTCAGAGAGGATTCTCCCTTATCTTCTCAGGTTTGTAGGGGGCCACAGAATCCTAGAAAGACTTGGGTTGGAAAGGACCTTAAAGATCATCCTATTTCAACCATCCTGCCAAGGGCAGGGACACCTTCCACTATCCCAGGTTATTCCAAGCCCCATCCAACCTGGCCTTGGGCACTTCCAGGGATGGGGCAGCCACAGCTTCTGTGGGCACCCTGTGCCAGGGCCTCACCACCCTCACAGGGAAAGATTCCTTTCTAGCAGCTGATCTAAACTTTTATCTTAAAAAGCATGCTATTGCTATATGCTCCAGCAGAGTCACTCTCCCTCTTTTTATAAAACACCTCTACACGCTGTGCACACAATGCAGGTGGTACCTGGGCACTGGGGGAAGCCTGTTGCTCCTGAAAGTTTTCAGGCTGTGGAGTTAACACTTTACCTAATGCCTGGCAGAATGGGGTGGTGGTGAAGGGATTATTAATGCTCCTGAGGGGCTGTAGGAGGTGTTTCCATTGCACCTAATTTTGGAAAATGCTCCCCACTGCACCCAGAGCTCGGGCAGGGAGAATCCTCTTGCTCCTGGACACTTTGGAGGCAGTGGAACTTCCAGCGTAGGGGAGGGTGGGGGAGGATCCCCGTCATTTCTGGAAGCTGGTGTGGAAGGCGTCCCCATCGCTCGGGTGGAGGGATCTCCATCACTCAGGGCTCGGCGAGGGGCTCCCCGCGGCTGCCGGCCGAGCGCGGGCGGCGCGGCCCCGCTTCCAGCTGGCGACGGGAGCGGCTCCGGCGCTCGGAGCCGGGGCACAGGACGCTGCCCCTCGCTGCTGGAAGCCGTGAGGGTCGCGCTCCCCCGGGGGCCCCCCGCCGCCTCCATCCCCGAGGAATCCTGGGCGGAGGGCGGGCTCGGCTCCCCCTTCTCCCTCCCTCCCTGCCGGGGCTCCGCTCTGGGACGCGCCGGCAGCGCCGGGCTCGGCTGCGGGACGGCGGGCAGGGGCGGAGGGCAGCAGGCGGGGGGCGATGCCGGGGCAGCGCCGAGGGTCCGGCTGAGCCCCGGGCACCCCCCGAGCTCTCATGGCGGGGCGAGCGCCCCAGCGCAGCCTCCCCGCGGCAGCGGCCGCCGCGCTCCTGCTCCTGCCCGTAAGTGCCGGGGACGGGGACGGGGCGGGGGTGCGGGACAGGGGCAGGGACTGGGATAGGGACTGGGATAGGGACAGGGACAGGGAGGGAGCGGGGGGGATGCCCCACGGCCGCGGGGAGAGCGGGGCAGCCCCGGGGCTCCGTGCTGCTCCGTGCCCCGCAGGTGCGCCCGGCTCTGGGGCACCCCGGGCGGGCGCCGCTCCCTGCCAGCTGCTGCCGGGATCCCGTGGCCTTTTCGTGCTCCATCACAGGTGCTCTCAGAGCCACCCTCTGCTCGCTCGCCTCTGGAGCCCCTCTGAGTGCGCCCTGCCCTGTGAAACAGCCACCTTTGCTTGCCAGAAGTGGTCCCAGCGCAGGGACCCCGCTGGGGTGGCAGCTCCTTGCCCCAGCGGGAAGGGGTTTTCCCTCCATCCCCTCGCTCCCTGGCGGTGCCCGGTGTCCCCGGCCCTGTGCCGGTGGCTCTGCCGGCACCGTGTGCCCCAGAAGCGCTCGGCAGCCCGGGGCGGCGATGGGCAGGGCTCAGCCCACGCACCCAGCCCAGCGCTTGCTCCGGAGTGAAACCCGCAGGAAGCTTTTCCTTCTCCATCACCAGCATCCCCCCGCGAGATGCTGGGGTGGGGTGGAGACCAGGTTGGTTTCTGTCGGACTGGACTTCAAAAGCTTTCCCAGTGTTTTTTGGTGGCTTGTTTTGTTTTGAGCGACGGTTTCAAGTGTGGTTAAGCCGGACTTGAAAAGAAAACGGGAGAGGTTAAGCAGCACTGAACCTGTGCAGAATTTGTAAAGGCTGTTCCCACAGCTTTAAAAAAGTGGCAGTGACCCTTCTGAACCGCAGTGTAATTGATCTATCTTTAACATTTCCTCAGATAAAGAAAGAAAATCTGTTCTGTTTCCTTAAGTTCTGTCTATTTTGGTTTGGGTTTTGTTTGTTTATTTGGGGGGTTTGTTTGGTTTTTCCTCCCCTCTCTAATTTAGAAAGAAAAAGAAAAGCCAGGTCAACAACAGGCTTCAGAGACGAGCAACAATTTAATTTTTTTTTTTTTTTTCACAGTAGCTTTCTTAGAAGTGAGAGAATACTTTCTCACCTCCGCCAGTGTCAGGCTTTTTTTATCCCCAAAAGAAGGAAGAGATCAGTGTACATGGGATCACAGTGGCATGGGTCTACACACTTGCTGTTTTCAACCCCAAACCACTATTTCCTGATCTGTTTCTTAGTCTTTTTTCTCTCTCAGTCTGTGTTTTCTCTTATTGATTTATTTTGGTCCAAGAATATATCTCAGTTTGTCTTTAGAATGTGGGATTTGTCAGTGGGATTATCAAAAGTACTCAGGTACTGAGTATTTAGCCAGACTAATCCATTCTCAATGAATCAAGAAATGTTTTGTGTTTCCTCTGTGGATATAGTCTATGGATTTTCCAGGTTTCCAGTTCTGCTGCAACTTTGCATTTGAATTATTTCTGCAAATTTTGGTAGTTGTGTCGCTGCTTTAAAACCAAAAACTGCCTCAAAAGAAATGGAGAAGAAAAGGTAGATTAAGGATCAAAAAGTGAAGTTCTCATAAAATGTGTTTAGTCCAAAAAATGTGAACTCTGAGTGTTTTCTATGTGTTTTTGTAGAGGAGCTTATTTGGGTGGAACATGCTGATGTCTGGCAGGGGCTCGTGTATACCTGTGTGGGAAATAACATTTTGAATTTTCACCTTCAGAACAGCTCAGGTTGCTCCAGGTGTAGCAAAAGCTTTTGCTGCTCCTGTGGGGAGTGTTTTAATCCCTGAATGTTGTCAATAAATCTGGATCTCTGCTTTCCAGCTGGAGGGAACTTTGCACCAAGACACTTTAGAGCAGTGTTTTAAAACTTTGGCTCAAAGCCAAAGCTCTTAAGCTCTTGTTTAACTTGAAAACACTCGAAAGTGGACTCGAAGTCAGTGACTTTATCCACATTTGTGGATTTGAGGAAAAGAATAGCTGCTCATGAGAGCAGGCCCTTACCCAATTAAGGGAGTTGAAGTTTTCACAGGAGCCGAGCAATTGTGTTTTATGGGAGCTGCAGGTTTGCAACGCCCATGAGATGAGGCAACTTTCTGGTACAGAATTAGATCTGCCACATGAAAATGCTGGTGCAAATGACCTGACAGATTTCACAGGGCTGGTCAGTAAAAGGGTGAAGACTTGAACTGAGATTTATGTTCTCTTAAAGGAGTTCTGGGTGTATGATGCACTTGAAAATACATTTAACTGAATGTGGGAAACAAAAACCAAACCATAAAATGAAGGCAAATTAGTCTTATGACATTTTTATATAAAGTCCTTGCTAAACTCACATAATTTGGAGGGGGGGGGGGATTATTAATCAAAACCAAAAGCATGGCTTGCTATCACTTATTTGTTCTCCTGGAGCTGTTAAAAGAGCTGGGGCAGTGTGAGTGTATCAGCCAGTGATGACAAGTTAAATAGTATTCCTGGTCTGAGGCTGCCAAAATTCAGCCCTGTTGTGAATTAATGCAGCATAAACATCTCATCAGGAGAAGCTTTTCCTGGGGCAGTACTTTGTCAGGGTTTAGTTTGCAACCATCCCATGGCAATTACTGGATGTTGGAGGGAGGTGGCTGCATGCTGGTGTTGGCTGCCTGTAGTTTTGCCATAAAACATTTCAGTGATGATGTTCATCCCTGCCCTTAGCCAGCAAGAAAGCAGCTTTAGCTTTTGTGCATATAAGGCATCTGCTTACATATTATTATCGTGTCAAGAGCAGAGGAAAAGTCATGATCAAGTCCTCTAAACTCTGTGACCTTCATATTCCAAACCAGAGTATGGTTATGGAGGAAGAGAGAGCTGGGATCTCTTTGCAGGCTGTGCATTACCAGGTGCAGAATTTTAATTTCAGCCTCACAGGTTCTAACTCCACTGCTACATCAATATCTCCAGGAAAGCTCTCCAGCCTTCAGAATAAAATGCTAGAGAGTGACTTGTGCTCATGTGATTGAGCTCCTTCAGCATCAAAACCAGGGAGGTGCTGCACAGACTGTGCACGGAGCTGGTCCATGGTGCTTCCCAGCTCCCAGATCATTCCCAGGAACTCTGTGAGACACCACCAGATTGCTTGGGGCAGAAATGTGGCCAGGAGCCATTCTAAAACTTGAACAGTTGAAGTGATTAAGGACTTAGATCTTTGCACTGCTTGATTTATTGGCTTGGATGGAGAGTGCTGTGCTGCCATCGCTCTGGGCTTGCCCCAGGGAGGAGTTTTCCTCTAAGGCCAGCTCTTCATTGCTGTGAATTTGGTGATCAGCTCTCTTTGTGTCAGGGATTACTGAGAGTTCCTGCTGCTGATGTGCTGAACTGAGAGACTCACCTCGGGAAAAACGGGGTAGTGAATGATACAGACTTATTAAGGACGTGTCTTCCCGTTTTCTTTTTATTTTCATTTTTCCCTATTAGTAAACCAAATATTTTAAAAATATTGTATTAGAACAAACATTTGCACATTTCTAGAGTCTTTTAATAGTTCTGCAGATCTTATTTTTTGGGCAGAGGGGGAGGTGAGGAAATGTGGGCGGCAACAACAGGCTGCACATGCTGCTGAATCTGTTCCTTTGTAGTTTATATCACTTTCAGGTTTTACAGCACTGCAAATGCAAGAAGGTAGATTTAGGGGAAAGCTGATTTACTCTAGATTAAAAGTTTATCCAGCAGATGACTTTTTTGCAGGAATTTTCTATTCCACACCATGTCTATAAATTGCAACAGATCATGTCCTTGTCCTTTCTTTTAATTTACACTGCTTTTAATCCCAAATGTAGTCTGCTCTTCGTTAAGTGCAAACATTAATTATTGGATGTAAAGCTGGAGCTGTCCAGCGGGCCACTCTCACCTCCCTTCCTCCTGTGGGTACTCAATGGCCTGTGTTAAAGCATTGCATCAACATTGTCTTTGCCTCCTTATCTTTCTATTCATGACAGTTAAACACTTTGTGATGGTTTGCTTTATCAAACTATTTCTTTATACAGAATTGCTTTCTTTTACTGCTAATAATTCTTTTAATCTTAACAGCTTTGAAGGTAGCTGTGTCTGATTTAAGTTGGCAAATGTTGGGTAAAGTGTTTAAATTTCTTCTCTGAGTTGTATAAATTTGCCCGCAGTCCTTGTTACAAGAGAAGACAAACAGAAAGTAGATCAGCCAAAAGACAGAGCTGTCCTTCAGGTGACTGTCTGCTTGAATCTCGTCAGTCACATCCAAATACATGAAATTTTCATTTCCAGTTCGTGGTGCCAGCCTGGGGATGATTGTGGGATGCTCCCTGCAATGCTCTTTGACAAGGACCACGTCCTGTGGTAAGCACTGCTCAGTTCCCTGGCCCTGGGCTCATCTGCTTTGGCTCTCCCAAGCAGATGTTCTGCTGGAACTTCTCAAAGGCTGGTCCCTTTGGCTGTGGAAGGGAGAGAGAAGGGCACTTCACAGAGATGAATTCCAGTGTCCTGTCCTGACCTCTGACTCCCAAGTCCCTCCTTGCTGTGCAGAGACAGGTGCTGGGAGAGTGCTGCTCCTTCCCCTGCTCTGGTGTGGAGCTCAATGGGTGGAAAACTGGGAATCTGCCTTTCCAAACATCCCTTACACCTCATGTGCCTGCACAGAAACTCAGCATGTTTTCACTAAATAGGAAAGAAAATCCATTTGATAATTCAAGAGCTGAAAAGTACTTCTTCCACGGAGCTGTAAGAAAATGAAACTAATTAAACAAAGCCAATTAAAGCTCTACAAACTTTTGCATAATGCTGGCTGAGTAACTGTCCACTCTGGGCTGTGTATGCCGGGAAAGTAAATAGTGAGTAATGCAGATGGAGATTAAAATACATTAGCTGTCCTCACTGCAATGCTAAACCCTTGCCCTGGTAATAGTAGCTGAAGTGCCAGAGGGCTGGAGAGGAGCTGCCAGCTTCCAGGGCTGTGGGATAATCCCTGCTGCACCCCCAGGTCCCTGGTGTGCAGGAGAGCTGCTCAGTGC